TATCTAAGACATTTCATTCACTACTATTTGTGTATCTTTCACAATCAGACAGCAATGTCAACATAGATGAATGTATAATATGATAACGAAAACGGTTAGTGAACTAGACTGAATTTCAGTAACAGTAAGATCGTAGTAAGCAACATTACTGTACTGAACGTGTCTGGAAATGTGTATTATAAACAATATATTAGTGGGATGAGTGACGTTAGACAGTAGATCTAGTACATAAAATAAGTTACATCCTAGCGCCTACTTTTTGTTCCTGGAACAGTCTTTTGTGTTCATTTCATGTCTCATGTATATCGTAGTTTATCTTGATATTTCATTACAGTTTACCATTATTTCAGCATATCTGAAAACTTGTAATTTATCACAATAAAAATAGCAGAGGTCTCTCCACAATTCAAACGCTCTGCCGATGGTGTCGATCCGATTCACGTTTGGCCTGACGAGCTTCAGCAGATACATTTTTGTTTTGATTTGTTTTTTATATTTATGTGGAGTTTGTGTTGGAGTCTGTGTTATGCTGGAGGCAGGTTGTTTTTTGGTGTTATGAGACTCCATGGTGTTAGCTGCAGTGCCGTCGCATAGACTGGATATAAAAAGGAGAGAGGCTCAAGAGTGCGCATGCACATCACATCCGATGGATTTCGCAGAAAATACGACCCAGAGACTTCACATAGAAACAGGAATACTGGCCTTCAGAGCTAATATCAAAAACAGACAAGTGGGTCATTGTAATGTGTGATTACAACCCCTTCACACACAGGCAATAAAAAAGCATTCATTTTATTAAGTTGCATATAGCACCTTTAAAGGTCTCCTATTATAGACTATTGCAGACTGGGCTTTTTGGAAAGGCTTTAAAGGAACTAAAACAGAGCTTTTCAGACTGAAGAGGTGCTATTACAGTAATGTATAATATGAGAAAAAATAATGTTTTTTGAACTTTAAGTCATGTAAATTTATTCTAGCAGAATTTGAAGATTTCTTCAAAAATACAATTATGAACTTGTACATGAGCACAATATGGGCACTTAAGAAAAATATAGAAACCTCAACTTTGCAAATCTTTTTTTTTTTCCTTGGGTTCAGGCATTTAAGTCTTTCATCAAAGAGATGTCTTTGAGACAAAAAAGGTCTTATGAGCAAAAACAGAAGCAGGGCATCTTTAAGTAAAGACTGTCTTTCCCTGCAGAAAGAATGTTTCATCACAGAGGAGAGATCAGAGGAAAAGGGTGATAAGGAGTCCAACAAAAAGAAGAAGAGAAGAAAGGTAAGAATTATAATTCACATTTCTATTAATGTTACTGTAGATGTCAAAGTCCTTTGCCCAGTTCAATATGCTCTTTAGAATATTTTTGATCACTTCATGCTCGATATAAAAGTGGCAAAAAGTACAACCTTACCCCAGAGATGCTTTGATTTTACGGACCATAATTTGACAGCTCATTTCTCAGTTTTCATAGGTCTCGGTTATTATTAGTATGATAATTAAGAAAATCGCGTCTTAATTTATATTAGGGGATGGAGCTTATCTGAATTCATTCATTCCATTTCTTGTCACTGTCTCTGCCACTGTTAAAACATGTTATTGTTTCATAATTCTCCTTTGTCATTAGAAGAAGAAAACTATCACAGATGTCCTGACAAGTTCTGAACCTGCGCCGGGCTCTCCAGCTGACCTTATGAGCCTTCTGAAGAATCACTTCAGCCTGACCCGCTCTGTTATTGAGCAAGAGGATCTGACACTAAACGGTTAGTTGATTAATGCACGTTTGTGTCTGAGAATCATTTGAATCTGGATATTGGATGAGGAGGTTAATTTTTGTTTGTTGTATTTTCTGTTTCAGACTCTTGTTTCCTCAGCAGTAATGACCTTACACATAGCTTGTCTTCTTACCTCAAAGAAGGTAAAAAAAATAATATATATATATATATATATATATATATGACGTGTTTGTCTTTTTATGCTGTCTGTCAATTTTTTAAAAGGATAATTCACCCAAAAATGTAAATTTTGTCATAATTTACTCACCCTCAAGTTTCTGTCATAGACCTCTTTTAAAATCATAAAAAATCCAAACTTTTGGTGGTAATGTATATTCTGTAATGGGTAAATCTTTGCTTATTTAAAATTAGTGTGTCAGATGCCCCTGATTTGAGGTCAGTATTTATTTTTGGGTGAACAATCCTTTTATTGTTCTGTTCTTCTGAACACAAAAGAAGATATTTGGTAACCATACAGTTGATGGTAGCCATTGACTTGCATAGTTTTTTTCCTACTATGTCAATGGCTATCGTCAACTCTTTAATTATCAACATTCTTTAAGATATTTTCTGTTGTGTTCAACAAAAGAATAAAATTATGGTTCACCCAAAAATAAATATTGACCTCAAACCAGGGGCATCTGACACACTCATTTTGTTATAAGCAAATATTTACCCATTACAGAATAGAAATTACCATTCAATATTTGGGATTTTTAATGATTTTAAAAGAAGTCTGTTATGCTTGCCACAGGTGCGTTTATCTGATCAAAAATAAAATTATATTGTGAAAAAAAATATGTAAAAACATATAAATGTACTATATTGTAAGTGTAATTTATTCCTGTGAGGCAAAGCTGAATTTCCAGCATCATTACTCCAGTCTTCAGTGTCACATGATCCTTCAGAAATTATTATAATATGCTGATTTGCTGCTCAAGAAACATTTATTATTATTATCAATATTGACAACCAGAATTTTTTATTAATAAAAAAGCATATCATTAAAGAACTTCATTTATTTGAAATGTAAATCTCTTGCAACATTATAATGTTTTTATTGTCACCTTTGATCAATATAATGCTACTTTTATCCTTCCTGAATAAAAGTATTTCTTTCAAAACAACTCTTACTGACACCAAACGTTTTAATGGCAAGTCAGGTGGGTTTATTAATTGTCTCCATTGTGTTAATTCCTTAATGAATGCATGTATAAAGTTTGTATTAACACTTTTCATATTGAAATTTTTCATTTCAGTTTGTCCAAAGTGGGCTAAAATCCAGAAGCAGCACACCCAGACCCAGTCAGTGGTGTTTCTCATCGTTTGCGGATCCGCTCTTAGAACTATTGATCTTATTAAGTGAGTTTCAGTTGTTCTGTTTTGAATAATACAGAGTTTGTTTTCCCAAGTGTAAGACTTTTTTTCTCTCTTTGCATTTAAGACAGCTGATAGCATTTAAAGGCCAAGCGAAAGTGCTAAAGCTGTTCGCGAAACACATCAAAGTGGATGACCAGATAAAGGCATTGAGTAAAGGTGTGACCCATATTGCTGTTGGAACTCCTGGGAGAATTGCTGCTTTGTTAGAAAAAGGTTTGATTTGAAGCACATTTGTGTCTCGTACATCTTGTAAATGTTATTTTAACCAACTTGCATGACTTTCAGTTTTGTGAAACGCCTTTTTTCGCTCCTTGATTTTTGTGCTTTAGAGGGTTTGACTGTGCAAGGACTGAGGTATCTGGTACTGGACTGGAACTACCGAGACCAGAAGCTCAGGAGAATGGTGGATATACCAGAGGTAGCAAGGACAGACATGTTTGTTACAACATTCCAAAGATACTTTTTAAAGAATTATAATATAGATAAAGATGAAATATACATACAATATTGATGTCTAATGTAACTAGTCAAAATTATGGATGATTTTGAAACACACTTAAAGGAATAGTTCACTCAAATTCAATTTCTGTTATTAATTACTCACCCTCATGTCGTTCCAAACCCGTAAGTGTTCGTTTATCTTTGGAACACAAATTAAGATATTTTTGATGAAATATGAGAGCTTTCTTTCCCTCCATAGACAGCAACTTAATTTCCACTTTCAAGGCCCAGAAAGGTACTGGTGCACTGCTCACGTGAATGGTGTCAGAGAAAAGTCATTATTTTTGTTTTTTGTTATTCTCGTCACTTCATAACATTAAAGTTGAAACACTGTTAGTCACATGGACTATTTTAACAATGTCTTTACTATATTTTGGGGCCTTGAAAGTGGTAATAATGTTGCAGTCTATGGGGGTCAGAAAGCTGTCAGATTTCTTAAAAAAAAATCATTACTTGTGTTCCGAAGATCTTAGGGGTTTGGAACGACATGAGGGTGAGTAACATTGACCGAAATTTTATTTTTGGGTGAGCTAACCCTTTAATACAGATTATTTACTGCCAACATATTTCCTGTAAAAATGGTACATATCGACAGTACACAATCAAAAGGGATTGGTTTACATCACAGCCATTAAAAAATATGTTTTGCTACTTGCTGTTGTGAGTTGTTTGAACAAGAACATCAACATTTTTGCTCCATTTTCCTGGAAAGAGACTAAATTTTAAATGTGCATATCTGATAAAGAAAACGTTGCTTATTTGGATTTATTTGGGTTTAACTGACTTCGAATAACTGTGGAGAAAATAGCTTAAAATATTTTTGTTGTGTGTTTCAGGTGAAAGAAGACTTTCTGAAAATGATGGACCGTGGTCTAATTCATAGCTGCAGGGAAGGAAAATTTAAAATAGGACTCTTTTGAGCAGTCTGTTCTGTTCTCTGTATTTACATGTTTTACACGTATTCATTTACTTGCTCGGTATGTATTTGATAGAACTATTATAATGTATTTTAGTGAAATATGTCTGCTGCAAAAGAAAAATATGTTACGTGTGAGTGTTGTTTTTTACTATTAAAAATAAAAATATCTGATTGGACAAAGAAAATCTGCCCAGTTTTTTGCATCAGGAGCCCCTCCCATTTTAGATTGTTTATACTTTATTCTGAATATTTTGCTTAATGCAATATCCTGTTACAACACACATGCTCAGGCACCAAGCGCACACACATTTTTTCAAATGCAGCTCCCACACATTACGGCAGAGTCCAGGAATGAGGAGAGACTCAGTTCTGATAGAAAAGAATGTGTGGAGCACTGGGGAGGTTTACAGTCAGAGCTAAAGACAGGGAGAACTGCTCTGTGTGTATAAGGTGGGGTGGTTCATGGTTGAAGTTAATAAGTAACAGTCACTTAAGGTTCAAAGGTTCAGTCATACTGGGAACTGAGAAAATTTGCTCTGGTGGCAGTTAAAGAAAACACTTTCTTATTTGAAACTGTGTCATTATTACTATTTTTGTGAAGTTGTAGAGAATCTGAGATGGGAAAGAAGCAGGCTGCTACAGGGCCATTGTCGAGGCGCCCGGATAACTCCGCATTTAAACAGCAGAGGTTACCCGCCTGGTCTCCATCTCTCACGGCACAGACCGTGCTGCCAACTTTCTACATCATCTCTCTCGTGTGCTTGTTTCTAGGCGTCTGGCTCCTCATCACTGTTCAGAAAACACACGAACTGAAGGTTAGAGGGTTTTTTTATTTTATTTATTTATTTTTATCAAGTGCGAATGTGCAAGACTGCAGGAAGTGACCAGAAGGATGTGTTCTTCTGGAAACAAGATCAGCACAACCCCTGAAAATTAATTTGCTGTGTTCTTATTGTGTAACTTTAACTATTAGTCAATTCCTTTTGCTATTTTGTACTCATAATGTAGACCTAACATTTGTCATTTGGCCAATTCAAAATATTGGTTTCGCTATTAAACTTTTCCTCAAGGACTACCAATCATGTACCTCCCAATTCAACTTTTTTAATTCAAAGTCATTACATTAGCACTTGTAAACCGTTCAATTTCGTTGTTTAATTAAAGTAGCTGACTAACTACATATGACCATGATTGTTGTCTGTATTGTTATTAGCATGGCTTGCTAAGGCAGCCATATCTATAGACCAGAATATCATAGCCTTGGGGGTGCGCTATTTTAAATTGGGCCAGTAAACAACCACCCTGAACATCTTAGCAACCATATAACAAAATGACAGCAGCATTTGCATGGGCATCAATCTGTTTTTATTAAGCATAAAAATCTGGTTTGCTACATTATGGTATCTCTATAAAAAAATTTGCTCATATGGTCACATTGATAAATGATGGAAAGAAAAGGGGTGAATGGAGTATGTGCTGCCATAACTCCAACCACAGTTAAATTTTACACGCATGTCGTATGTTGTAGGTGGATTACACTAATGCTGGAACATGTCAACAGTGCTTCGAGATGCGGAAGCATGCCATCCACACCAGAACGGCCTGCACATGCTCAGTCAGCTTCTACATTCCCAAAAACTTTTCGGTGGGTCAGTTCAAGAAATGATTTGACAGTTCAAAAGTTAATGGAAAAGCATTAAACTAATCAAAAATGTTACAAATGATTGATGTTCTTCTGAGCTGTCTATTCATCAAAGAAACCTGAAAAACCATGTATTATGGCTTTGAAATAAATATTAAGCAGCACAACTGTTTTCAACAATAATCAAAGGAAAATTGTGTGCACAATACAACACTAGTTAAAATCTCTCACTAGTCTTGCCTGCACAAAGTTATATCCAATTTTATAAATAATATACCATTTTTGAACTCCTGGCATGACTATTTACAACCAGTAAACCTAACTTTAGTTTCATATAATATAATACAATAACAATAATAAACAATAAGAGCATTTTCTGCCTAGAACAGTCCCACTGTTAAAACGGCATTTACATAAACTCAAATAACACAATTCATTGTCTAATTTTTCAAATTATTTTCTGTATTTAACCCGTACTTTAAAAAAGAGAGAGAGAGAGAGAGAGAGAGAGAGAGAGACATCCTAAATTAAATTCATATTACAAATGTCTAATTTAAACGAGACACCATATGAACCTCATAATTTGTCATCAGCGTGTTTCCTTTCAACATGATGTAGTGCTATGTCTGATAGCATGCTGTTTCCCTCAGGGCGATGTATTCTTTTACTACGGTCTGAGGAACTTTCATCAGAATCTGCGGAGGTACATGGACTCCCGTGATGATGCACAGATGGTGGGGAGGAAGAAAAACCTGAAGGTGCTGGACGTCTCTTTTACTCCCCTTCTGTTTGCGCTCCTTTTTCACACACTTTCCTCATCCCTCCCACTCACTGATTAAAGTAACGTCTGTCTTTATTTGATCTCTCACTATGCTTCACATTAGTAGTGCTGTTATCACATCCAACATGTTGTTATTGCGGCAGTGGCTCAGTGGTTCATGTAGGTTGTCTACAAACCAGAAGGTCGGTTCCACCTGACCAAGTGTCGAGGCGTCCATGAGCAAAACGCCTAACCCCAGCTGCTCCCGACAAGCTGGATGGCGCCTTGTGTGGCTGACACCGCCGTTGGTGTATGAATGAGTGTGTGAATGGGTGAATGTGAGGCAAAATGTAAAGCGCTTTGGTGGCCATTGGGTCTGTGAAAGCGCTATAAAAATGCAGTCCATTTACCATTTCTCACGTAGGCACCGAGTTCGTACTGCGCTCCGTTCGATTACGATGCAAATAGAGCACTACCCATTGCCCCATGTGGTGCTGTGGCCAACAGCATGTTCAACGGTGAGACACATGTTAGTATTATGCTAATAAGCCAGTTTGCTTGCTGCTCGTGGTTTGTTTATACCATTTTATTTTTATTTTAGATTCATTAACAGTGTTCTATTATCCAACGAATGAGCCAGGAGGAGGCCTACCAGTTCCACTCTACAGGAAGGGTATCGCTTGGTACACGGACAAAAATGTCAAGTTCCGTAACCCTCCGACCAACAACACATTCACACTCCGACAAGCCTTTGAAGGTACACGGCATGTGCTGCATGTGTTATGAGCATGTGTCTGTTTTTCTCATTGTTGTCTCTCTGTTTGTTCTCAGGCACGATTCGGCCCTTATACTGGCAGCGTCCGGTTTATGAGCTGGATGACACAGACTCCAACAACAATGGCTTCATAAATGACGACCTGATTGTTTGGATGAGAGAGGCGGCCTTCCCTAATTTCAAAAAGCTTTATGGGGTTCTCAATCGTGCTCAAGGGCCTTTCAAACAAGGCCTACCCAGTGGCAACTACAGCCTCTCAATAATTTACAGTATCCTTTGCTCATGAAGGACAGAATTGGTTGGCTTTTGTTTTGGTGACATCTTATTACTCCCCTGACAAAATCATATGGTCACAATGGGTCAGCTTTTGTTAATTTGTTTTTGCCTTAGTTTGGATAGTTCACCCCAAAATGAAAATTTTGTCATCATTTACTCACTCTCATGTTGTTCCAAACCTCCATGACTTAAAACTAGGGTATACGATTTCAAAGATTGTTCATTATTAATATCCTCGTTTATATGCTGGTTACAGTTATATAGTACAACCCTAACAATATAAATAGAAAAAAGAACGAAAAAAAATCCATTCACTCTATTGGCTGTCCAGCCGCATAAAAGTTGACCAATGAAAGCTTTGCGATCGCAAAGCTACATTGGTCAACTGCTCTCATCCAATCACCAGCTACACTTGAAACTCCGCCAGGCGCTCGCGTCTCCACCCCACCGCACCCGACCACGCCCGACCGCGCCCCCCTTCTGCGTCATGAGAATCGCGCGCGTTAGCAGCTGACCGCATATGGTAGCTAGCTAAGTAGCATAACAGCGATGGATAAAAACCGAAAGAGACAACAGCAAGCGTCCCCTGATTGCCCCTACAAGAAAATGTGAAGAATGCCGAAATTTGAGGAGAATAAATATAGGGTCCACCATTGACCGATGGAGAAAGCTTCAGCGAGATCTGGGACTGAATACCGATGCTGACACTGCTTACATTTGGTTGAGCAGGTAACGTTTAACATTTATTTATACTCGTAAATGGCGTGAGTCGCGTGAAGTGTTACATATATAACTTTTTATTAGTCTGACAACTTGCTAATTCTGCCGGTCGGCATTGGAATGTTAGCTGTTTAGCATCGCCTATCATGGGTCAAAGTAAATATATTTCTTGAAGTGCTTGATTATATTTCAGTATGCCTAGCGGGTTTCTGTTTGAGCCGATCGGAATTTAAACAAGATGCGCTGTATGCTGCTATAACAATTACTCAAAACCTTCGCAATACTACTAATATCATAGTTATGGTGGTGGGTAGTGTAGAACATTTCATGTGTTGCTAATCTTGCGTTGGCGTGATCTCAAACGTGTCATTGAATTGTTGATGAAGCAACTAAGTTCAAGTGTCTAAAGGCAATTTTACATATGATGTGATTGAAGCGACTAAGCAATGTTGTGAAAGTATGATGATCACAACTTGACTGAGTGACGTTGTTCAATTCGTTTCCCGGGAGGGATCACGTAGCAGAGGGGAGGGGTGTGTGTGTGTGGAGAGGCGGGATGAGTTTTTTAAAACGTCCCTCCCGTTTCAGGCTTTCTCGACTGATTTTCAACATCGTATACTACAGCTTTAAGGGATAGTTCACACAAAAATAAAAACCTTCATGATGTTCCAATCCTGAATTGGGTGTCTTTCTTCTGCTGAACACAAAGGAAGATATTTTAAAGAAAGTTGGTAATCAAACAAATATCTTTTGTGTTCAACATGAAACTCATACAGGTTTGGAACAACATGGGGGTAAGTAAATGACAGAATTTTCATTTTTTGGGGGAAATATACCTTTACTTTACTTTTCGTTCCACATAAGAAAGTCAGTCATATAGGCTTGGAACAACATAAGGATGAGGAAATACATTTTTGGGCCAACTATCCCTTTAAGACACTATCCCCTGGTTTAGTAGACAAGGTTTAAGATAGTCCCAGACTAAGATGCAAGTTTGAGCTGTTTTAACTTAAACCAACTTGAATATCTGACATATCTTAAAATAGGTCAGTGCCATTGTTTTGACACCATGTTTTTTTGTTTTCTAAGGCACGTTTCTAAAAGTTACTTAAAGAGTAACTAAACCCTAAACCAACTTTTTTAGTTAATGATCTGTAAGAATGGATCTTTATTAATACCAGTCATTGATTCGAGTAACTTTTTTGACATTTGTGTGTAAAGTGTTTTATTTCTACAATATATGGTGTAAAAACGTCTTCAGTGCCCTCTTCAGGTTGAACGGTGAATACTGCAGTTGAATTTTCCTATTGGATGTTCGTGACGTACGCAGGTTTCAGCTCACCACGCTCTTGGTACAAGATACGCCCTTGGCAGTATAAAAACCAGCTTGTTTCGTCAAAACCAGTCAGGACAGGAGTTGTAATTGCGAGTATTGAAAACGATCAGGATAGAGTGTTTTAATATCTATTTCGTCCCCTCTATCTCGCTGGGGTCTGCCCACTTTTTCAGCATTTTTCAAATATTTCCAGTGGGTGGAGTCAGGCTCTGACCAGGCGACTAGTTACCCTTTAAATGTCCTAATTGAACTAAGGCCTAATCCTGGCTCAATCTAAGACCTGTCTGTGAAACCGGGCCTATATGTATCCATTTCATTTCTATCTTAGATTTAGCCTTGACTAATACCTTCAGATTTTCCTGTCGAGCCCTTTCAAGGTCAGAAGGAGCTGGTGATCTCCATGGTGACCTGGTTTGGTGGGCAGAATTACTTCTTGCCCATTGCGTACCTGGTGACTGGTGGAATGATCTTGGTGGCAGCTATTGTACTCACAGTGGTGTTTGTGAAAGTGGGCAAAGAGGGCAAGAACATGGAGGAATAAGCCAAAGAACGAAGGAAATGTATACCAGAAAAGAATGACAAACATTGCCCATAAAAGTCATTATAGGCACATTGGAAGCAATTGAAGTGTACATATGCATTGTACATATCATCCTCTCTAATTATGAGGGAAAAAAAAAAAAAAACTAATTGTGTCCAAAACCCATTTTGTATGGTTTAATAATAATATTAATAGTTTCAAATACAGTGGCATTCAAAAACACACATCGGAGAAAAAAAAAAAAAAAAAAATAGAGATTAAGTGAGTGATCTGTGCAAAATTTTCAATTAAACTTTTCATGCAAGTTGTAATGGTTATAATTGAATCAAATTAATCTATATTAAGGTTGAAAATTGCAAAATACAAACATTTTTGCAAGTGGATTTTTGAACCTCACTGTATTAATTTGATGAAATGTAAAAACTGGCTTGTATTTCCAGACAGGAAATGAGTAATGGATAATTATAATTTCCAGCTGTCTAAAATCATTGCACTGAGCTTCACATCTGACATAATCTAAGTTTGGAATAGCATACTACTAACTTCTCTATGCTTTATATAATGACTATATTGTGCGTAGTATGCACATTTACTTTCTAGGTAAATATTGTGAGGCATGTGAGTACATGCATGTCTCACAATATTTGTAAAAGTGCAGTTTACAAAAAGGACACTTGACTTGATTTTCCATTTCCAGTGTGATTAATTGACCAAAAAAAGCATAATGTTTTACATACTATTAAAAAAGGGATACAGTACCATAGTACAGTACGTACGTGATGAGTATACTCAGTATATCAGGAAACTAGCAGCAGGGGGCGTCTGTGACAACACGAAATGCCTTATATGTCAACACGCGATAACAAACCAGCTGAGTTTTCTCAACACTTGTTATAATACAGCATATAATATGTTATTTTTTAATAAGAATGACTCAATTTATTAGAATGCATTTGGCGTATATATTTATACACTCCAAATAGTTTACAAAGTAACTTTTTTTGTCAGTATGAAAGTTGGGCACGCATTCGTCATTCAGTCAGTCGCTAATATTTGCATCACATGAGCTTTGTAATAAGGGTTTTCGAAGTGTTTTATAATTATTACATATGCATTTTGACGACTTATTAATTGAGGGATTACATGGAATATTCTTTTAAATTAATTTGTTATAAAGAACTACAAAATAGTAGTACTTCGTACTTCCACTCAACTGTTCGCTTCTGTACTGCTGTAGTTCGGACTTGCCAAGTTCGACTCAGGAGAACTCCAGAGTACGAGAGGCGATTCATCAATTCAGCAGTCAAAATTAATGTCTTGTAATAACATTTTATTTTTTAATAAAACTTAAATTTAAAAATTTTAAATTGTTTTTCTATACAATCAATCTACAGTACCAAATCATCATTTAGAGACAGATGTACACAGTGTACGGCAGACAAACATGAACACACACAGGCTTGTGGATACAGTGCACAGAAACACATTACATACAACTCTGATAAGATTTCAAAAACTATAAGCAAACATGCACAAACACGACTGAATCTGGTATACTTTTAAACTCACAAATACATTGAAACACACATACATGTCCATTGTGCCACCACGGTGGACATTTCATTGATTTAAGCCAGTAAACTAATGCAAGTACCGAAATATGACTTGTCAGATATCGTAGTAAATGACAAACGTAACAGTGTACAAATCTGAGTTCGAAAATGCAACATCCTGGTCTCCAAAATCCATACCGTGAGGCAACGTTTGGTCTGATAACATTAAATCAAATGGATAATATGTTTGGACCGATTATCCATTAAGTTGTTTGGTCTATATATATAAAGACAAATTGGCACAGAGTGAATAGGCAAGAATGTCGGCATCCTGTATCTTGCTATTTAATCTTTGACCACTAAAGGGTCACCTTTCGTAAAGGATTCACTAGGACAGTGTAACCGGGAAAGCAGTGCATGCTTGGTAGCGTAAACTTGACCTGTTAGTGGTTTGGGAATAATAAAACAAGACACATCAGCAGGAAAAATGGATCTCTGCATGGCACAGTTTTTCACGTGCATGACTACAGAAAAGATTACATCTGCATAAATGTGTATGCGCAGTCATGCACAGAGAACTTTTCCATTGGATTTGAAAATGCAGATTTTTTTTTAAACAAAGGCATTGCTACTTCCTGTGCTGAATAAATGTTTGTCCATCAGTCCTTCTTTAATTCATTCAGACTTAACTAAATGATTCAAAAATCAACAAAAATCTGTTCCAAAACCTTGTGAGTTGTCAACCAAGTCAACATTTTAAGGCATCACAGTCATGCTCCAAGTGGCAGGCCTTACTGCAGTGAGTGCAGTCAATGGAAAAATGTACCCAATATGGCGAACAAGTGGAGAAAAATGTTCTGATGATTTTAAAGCGATAGTTCACTTTGAAATCAATTTTTGATATGTTTTAGCTTACCTCAAGGGCATCCAAGATGTAGGTGTCTTTGTTTCCACAGTATTTTCAATTTTGACATTTTTTGTCAAACCGTTGTTGTCCGTCAGTCATATAATGCAGGTTTATGGGTATCTCCTAAAAGAGTATGCACAGAGAAGTCCAAATTAAACTTGATTTAATGATTTAATGAATTTAAATATTAGTACACATTGATGGCCTCAGACACGAAACAAGCGGTTTGTGTGAGAGAACGAACAGTATTTATATAGTTTTTACCTCTTGTTAACAGCCGTCGAACTGATCTGAATCAGATGTTCAACCGAACCGTCTCCAACATTACGCGGGACGTGATCTCTCGCGCGTCTACGTCACGCATTGTTTACACAGAGATTTCGGAAGTTTTACCTTTCACTAAACATATTTAGATAACACAGGTAAAACTTCCGAAATATCCGTGTAATTTTGCGTGACGTAGACGCGCGAGAGATCACTTCCGGCGTTACTTTGGAGAGGTTCAGTTGAACATCTGATTCAGATCACTTCGACGGCAGTTAACAAGAGGTAAAATCTAAATACTGTTCGTTTTTCTCACACAAACCGCCCGTTTCGTGTCTTAGGCCATCAGTGTGTAATTTACGAGTTATTAAATCATGTTTAATTTGGAGTTCTTTGTGCATGCTCTTTTAGGAGATCCCCATGTAGACATGCATTATATGACTGACAGACAACAACGGTTTGACCAAAAAATGTCAAAATTGAAAATGCTGTGGAAACAAAGACACCTACATCTTGGATGCCCTTGAGGTAAGCTAAAACATATCAAAAAGTTAATTTCAAAGTGAACTATCCCTTTAAATAATCACATATGTCTTTCAATACTGAAATATATTCATTAAAACTAGTTAAATAGTTTAAATATTTTTGTGTGCATTGGAGTACTGGGGTGTTAGCTTAGCAACATGCTAACATCAAACTATAAATTGTGAGCAGGCATAAAGCATGACATCTAAAGGCTGGAATACACTACATGTTTAAATTAAGTTAAAATTGTAGGCATCATATAATTATTGACGGAGTCATATACACAAACTCAAAAAGCAGTTGCCTCGTTGACAAATAAAAATAAAAATCAGCTCAAAATATCAAACATGTTTGATATCCTCTGACTGTATGCAATTAAAGTCTAAAGCTAACAAAAATCTGTGTGACTAAAAGCCAAAAAGTATATTTTTTTCAGTACCGGTACCTAATTTTGTCGTTTATGCCCTAATGGGGATTTGCCCATATTGGGAGCACAGAAAACTGAAATCTCTTTGCATAAGCAAATTATAATTTTCATTATTTATTTTTCTATATTAGTTAAAAAATAAGTATTTTTGTTGTGGAGGTCCCAATTGGGATGTAGAATTTTCATATTTTAGACTAGAGTGTTAAATAAAAGGTATGGTTGCATTTGTAAGTTAATCAAAAATATGTATATGTAACTGGTTGTCTAAAATAGGCATATCATATCAACATTGATCGCAGGCCCCTTCATCGAATAAAACTGTAAATGTTTTGCAGCATGTTTTGAGGTATAATAAGTACATATCGTATTGCTAGCTAGGAGAATCAATATCAAATTGTATCATGATGAAATGTCTAATTTACTCCCAATAAATTTGTATACTGCACTATTAAGGCAGCTGTCTATTAAGGCAGTACAAAGCAAGTTAACTCACTAGGTTATGGAACAGAAGTAGAGAAACCAGTATGTGTTGCTTGCTATGTCACAAAGGCGGCACCTATGTAACAGCAGAATACAATACAACAGTGCAAAATGACAGTGAATCACAGTGTTATGAGAGTGTTTGTCGATTAATTTGAAATTTTATCGTTTGTTATTCTGCACAAGGGCGGTTTTGATGAAAATATCTTTGCCTAAGGGGGAACAAATGTGCCTTACAATGAGCGATCGAGATGAATACATCTCCGCTCTCAGAAAAATGCACAGATATCTAAAGACTCACAGTTTGATAACAGAGCATAGTCACATATATGCACTCGTACACACACATTTAGACGCATGAACACACAAAACACCCACCAAACGCAGTAGTGTAACGAGATCTCTGCTGTTCTCTCTCTCCTGACATTCCTTTGTGTTATTTCAGTGATAGGACTTGCGCGCCGTACAATTTGAGATGGCTAGGAGCGGAACGTTTCCGCACATTCTGATCTGCAGATTTTTAGGAAAGGTAGTGTTCAGCCGAGGGTTTCCAAAAGGGTCCACTCTTCTGTGATTGGTCAGTCTATTTTCTGACACGGTGCATTGTGGGTATTCTGTGGTACTTGGTACAACTGTCCTTCTGTGGGTGTGGCTTGATCAGGTGTGCTCTTGGGTGTGTCATAGGCTGAGCTTGCCGATTGGCTGCTGTCTGTCCGAGCCACTAAACCACGGCCCCTGAATGGCAGAGTGCCTCCTGATAAGTGGCTTGCCCTGTCGATCATGATTGGCGTAGCATATTCAGTGCCAGAAGCAGGAAGGGGCTCAGCGTAAGCATGGTAATGTTCCGGTGGAATAGGTGCGTCATACTCGGGGGCATCGCACTCTTCAGGTTTAAACGTTGATCTTTGTCCGAGAGAGGCCATGGTACCGGTGACAAGCGGTTGGGCGTATTCTAAGCAGATGGGAAAGGCAGAAAATAGACTGTTAAATGGTTCATTGGGGAACATAAATCTACAAGTTTGTTTGTATGTGTACCTGCAGGCTCCACTCGGGGTCTCTGGTGGTCCACTCGGGCTGTGGAACTGTAACGAACACAGTCGTCTCCATCCAGCTTAGAGGGCAACAGCTGTTTCATACTCTTCCACCACTCTAAAACACACATTTAATAATTCATGTTGGGGAAAATGCATAAGAGGAAACAAGTGAGAAGATACGGACCTGTGCGTTCCCAGTGCGGAAGTTCATAAGTCACCTCTGGGCTTTTTCTGTAAGTTTGAATGCAGATGAACATATTATCTGAAACCAGCAGTCTTTTAGGCCTACTCACATCAAGTTAAATTTTAATTTTAATTTTGAATTTGTCAGATACCAAATAATTTGAGATACCTAAACGTTTAGTTTTTTTTTACTGACCTGGTCTTCCACAGCCATGAGCACACCATCACTAACACCGGGGTTGTCAGAACCAAAACCAATACAGGGACCAACACTGCCACCAGTGCCACCTCTGCAACATTTACACAGCACATTAATAACATTCATCTAGCGTTAGAACTGTTCAAAACCCGAGTGAGCCATTCATCTAGCGTTAGAACTGTTCAAAACCCGAGTGAGCTGCCTACCTAGACAATATTTTTAGGCATCATAAGCATGCTCCTGGCAAAGGCTATTCCAGTTAAATATTGTGTCAAAAAAAAAGTTTTAAATGCTGCAAAGTGAATTTTAGCATCACACCATTAGAATATACAGTATAAAAAAAACAGTATATTCATACAAATTGGATACAAATGGAGATTTGTTAAAGATTAAATTTAAGAGTGTTATCAAATTATTAAATGTTTAAAATATTAAGTGACTAAGTTAATGGCAAAGCTAATCTAAATGTTAAATTGGTAAATAAGCATGCACAATTAAATATCAAATGATACTGAAAAATTAAATTAAACAAATTATATCGGCCTATAGTAGTAGTGCCAATATATTGTGCATCACTACAGCTTGTGCCCTTTGTGGATAAGGGAAACAATTTAGAAATTTTCATGCAAGATGACATCAATTTAAGGACTGATTATATTGATTATTAATATTGTATTCACTATTAAACAGTATTGATAGATTGATTCAAGTAATTAAAAAGGGATAATTTCACCCAATGTTACTCTGAGTTTTAACCTACTAAAATGAGAGTACTGGAATCAACTGTAAAACATAAATCAGTGCACTTCTTATGAGAAAAGCTTTTTGTGTGAAAAGAGAGTTTGCGGTCTATACGAAACATCTTAAATCAGTAATTTATGATGTTCCATTTCACTAAGAATACTGCCTGAGAGGCCAGGCCGTTCACACAAAACACGTTTTGCATTCACTGCGGTGCTTTTCTATTGTAAACATGTTCAAAGTAGTTCAACTATTAAAAAAACATTACCTTTTTTAATTTCACAGCCCTGCATCTTGCATTTTTAGACAAATGACCCCTCAGAAAGTCGATGTCAGACCCTAAATACAGGGCAAGGCCGCTCACTAGCACAAATGTTAATTTACTTAATGCTTTTACCATCGTGAGAGTGCGGAGGCATGGTGGTGTTTCGGATGTTGGGCGTGTGTGTCGTCCTCTCCTGCAGGGGGGGCACTGTGCTTTTTTTGCGAGTGGGAGGAGGGTCTGGATGGAAGATTCTTGGCCTCGCTGACCAACAGAAAGACATCCAATCATGTTTAGCACAGCTACTTAGCCAAATCGGAGACAGATTTCTAAGATTAGTCTCACCTGCATGCGGCTGGCAGCCCAGCAGCTCCATTTTAAGAGCAATCCTCTGGTGCCACTGGAAGGGACATATTCTGATAAACCGTGCTTCAATTGGAGGAATAAAGTTGTTCCGTACTTCCTGGAAATAGTTGGTGTTGCCTTGGAAAATCTGTTACAGACACACAAGGACACATCGTCTTGGCAACAAAGAACATTTGGCCTCAGACCAAGGTCCAT